ACCAGGGACCGAAGGTGAAAGAAGTGCATGAAGAGTGGTCGTTCCTTAAGGACATGATCCTCGAAGCACAAAGGAAGTCCATTCCTATGCAGAGGAAAGGTAGCAGAAGGGCTGGTAAGCCCTCTTGGCTCAGTAGGGATATCATAGTCCTCTTGAAAAAGAAGAAAGAGGCATACAAACAATGGAAGCTTAGGACAGTCCCCAAAGAGGACTATGCAGCAATGGCCTACATTTGTAGGGAGCAGACTAGAAAGGCTAAGACAGTGACTGAATTTAAACTAGCAACAGAAATCAAGGAGAATAAGAAGTCCTTCTTTAGGTATGTAAGGAACAGGAGGAAAACAAATGGAAACATGGAGCCATTGCTTAACAACTCAGGACAGCTTGTTACCAACACTCAGGAGAAAACTGAACTCCTGCATGACTACTTTGCTTTGGTATTTCACCAGATTAAGGGGAAAATCATACTAGATAAGGTTCAGAATGGGCATGGTGGGAATGACCACCTTCCTACTGTTGACGTTGAGCTGGTGCATTATCAGTTAGAAAAGTTAGACATTTATAAGTCAGCAGGACTAGATGAACTTCATCCTGGGGTGCTGAAGGAGTTGGCTGAAGTCATTGCGGGGCCCCTGGCAAAACTCTTCCAAAATACATGGCACTTGGGGGGAGGTACCTGAAGACTAGAAGAGGGCCAGTGTTGTGCCCATTTTCAAGAAAGGGAGGGGAGAGGACCCGGGCAACTGTAGGTCAGTTAGCCTAACTTCTATCCCAGGGAAAATCCTGGAAAAATTCATCAAGGAATCTATGTGCGATAGGCTTGCAGAAGGTAGGATTCTAAGCAACAGCCAACATGGCTTCATTGTGGGTAGGTCTTGTCTTACCAATCTCATCTATGACCAGGTAACTCACGATCTGGATAAGAGAGAGGAGGTCAGTGTTGTGTACCTGAACTTCCAAAAGGCCTTTGATTTGGTATCCCATGATGTTCTCATGCGAACATTGGAGGATTGAGGGCTTAACTGCTTGACAGTCAGGTGGGTAGAAAGCTGGCTGCGGGGTAGGACCCAGAGAATTCTAACTAACGGATCTGTGTCATTGTGGTGAGAAGTAGCCAGTGGTGTCCCTCAGTGGTCCGTGCTTGGTCCCGTGCTTTTCAGCATCTATATCAATGATTTGAATGTGGGGGTGAAGAGCTCACTGGCCAAGTTCGCAAATGACACCAAGTTATGGGGGAGCGTGGTTGCACTTGAAAATAGGCTGCAGATACAGGCAGACCTAGACAGGCTGGCAAGTTCGGTGGATCAGAACCAGATGAAGTTCACTATTGAAAAGTGTAAAGTGCTCTATCTGGGGACAAACAATCCCCAGATTGTTGGCTCGGTGGTGCCAAACTGACTAGCACTACAACTGAAAGGGACCTAGGGGTAATAATAGACCATAGTATGAACATGAGCTGTCAGTGTGATGCTGTAGCCAGCAGGGCAAACAATACTCTGGTATGCATCAACCAATGCCTCTCAAGCAAAACCAAGGATGTGATTCTTCCACTTTACTCAGCATTGGTGAGACCGCAGCTGGAGTACTGCATCTGTTCTGGGCGTTGTACTTCAACAAGGACATGAAAAAGCTTGAGAGAGTCCAGAGAAGAGCCACCTGTATGATCAGAGACTTGCAAGGCAAACCATACAAGGAAAGGCAGAGGGACTTGGGTCTCTTCAGCCTGAAAAAGAATAGGCTGAGAGGGGACTTGGTAGCAGCTTACCACTACACAAGGGGAATATGTTAGGCCTGTGTGAAGCTGCAGGTATTTGCTTCGTATTCAGCGGATTCGGAGGGACAGTGATTTGATTCAGTGATTTGAATCACTGTCCCGATTCAATTAGGCTGATTTGGATTTGGAGATTCAGAGCTGATTTGGAGATGCAGCCATAGAATATAATGGGGAATCACTAAAATACCTATAACTTTGTTATAGCCCATTCTGAGTGCATGAAGCCTGCCAAGTTTCAAGGAGACAGGCACAGGGTTTTCTGTGAAAGTGCACCTTAAGGTTCAGAAAGCAAATTAAAAAAGCAAATAGGTGCAGAGTGAGGAAGGGAACTCAGAGAAAGATCACAGTCACTGGCCAGTTACAGATGTTAGTATCAGAGCAGTCTTTCCCCCGTCTCAGTCTTTTCCATATATGGAAGATCACCCCCTCCCCCTCCCTCTTCTCAGTTTCTGTTTGCTGCAAGCCTTCCGAATTTCCTTATCTCTCCAAATTGATTCGGAGGCTTCTGATTCAATTGAGACCTTTTAATGGGTTTCCCGATTTGACTTGGATTCGGAGAGTCAGCTGCTGAATTGGGCCAAATCTCCTCCAAATCGAATTGGCTACTAAAGCTTCGCACAACCCTAGAATACATCAAGGGCTCAGTGAAGAAATGTTCACCAGGGCACCCCTAGGGAAAACCAGGAGTAATGACCACAAACTCCTGGAAGAGCG